TTTTTTCTTTTTTTGGGGCGTATTGAAACAAAGTATGAGTTAGTATAAGGGCAATTCTTGAAAGCTGCGTATGCCACTGCTACTTGCCAGAACTTAGTAATTATGGCTGGAGCTGCTGCAAGGGAGGTGGGAAAACGCAAAAATGCACTGAACTTTTTGTAAATAGTAATGTAAGGCACATAAAGGGTGTCTAAAGAAGCTGAAACAGGCCGAGTGTGGTGGCTCATACCTGTAATCTCAGCTCTTTGAGAGACCGAAGGAGGCAAATCACTTGAGATCAGGAGTTCGAGACCAGCCTAACCAGCGTGGTGAAACCCCCGTCTCTACTAAAAATAAAAAAAGTTTAATTAGGACAAAGCAAAACTAACCCCCTCCACCTGGGGATGTTGCCCCAACACCTTCACAGAGTCAGGCCTCTGCCAGCCAGGAGGAGGAGGCACAGCCTGCCATGATGTCTATAAACCGGGTATCGGCAGGGGTGCCCATGAGACAAGCAAGTTTTGCTCAAGCCCCATCCCATGCCCTGAATCATGCGAAGTGCTCCCTGCATTCTCTGTACACTCCAGGGGTTTTTGCTCTCAGGGAACTTCTAACTCTGGCTTCCTCCTTCTGCCGAATTCTTAAGTTTATGCGTGTTTGGAGCCTCGAGGTGCAATTGCTGGGCTCTGGCACTGCCAGGGGGTCTGCCGCTAACACAGTGCTGGGTACCACGTGGACGCTGAATAAATGCTTGTTGAATTATAATGACAACCATTATTTAATAAATGCCTACCATGTGCCAGGCAACATGCTAAGAACTTTACATACATTCTGCCATTTGACCCTGACAACTGCCAAGATCTTCATTTTACCAATAAGGAAATTAAGACTTGGGCTGAATGTTGTGTCTCACGCCTGTAATCCCAGCACTTTGGGAGGCTGAGGCAGGAGGATCTCTTGAGGCCTGGAGTTCCAGACCAGCCTGGGTAACATAGTGAGACTCTGTCTCTACAAATTAGCCAGGCATGGGCATGATGGCAGGAACCTCTAGTTCTAGCTACATGGGAGGCTGAGGTGGGAGGATCACTTGAGTCCAGGAGTTCAAAGTTACAGTGAGTTATGATTGTGCAACTGCACTGTAGCCCGGGCAACAGAGCGAGACCCCATCTCTAAATAAAAATAAATGGAGCCTCACAAAGCTTAGGTACTTGCCAAAGTTCTTACAAGTGGTAAGAGTCAGAGCAGGAATTTGAAGATGCAAATTCTTAGCCATAATTATCAAGTGTCTACAGCCCTGAAGTGACCATCCCTCCCTCCCTACTCGTACTGTGACAGATCCAGGAGCCTAGGGTCCCAAGAAAGGCAGAGCCTATGTTAGCTGACGGCTCTGTGGGCTGACACCACAAGAAGAATGGGTTTGTTTGTTTGCTTGTTTGTTTTGAGATGGAGTCTTGCTCTGTCACCTAGGCTGGACTGCAGTGGTACAATCTCCACTCACTGCAATCTTTGCCTCCCAGTTTCAAGCAATTCTCCTGCCTCAGCCTCCCTCATAGCTGGGATTACAGGCACCCACCACCACACTTGGCTAAATTTTGTATTTTTTTTTTTAATAAAGACAGGGTTTCACCATGTTGGTCAGGCTGGTCTTAAACTCCCGACCTCAGGTGATCCGCCTGCCTTGGCCTCCAAAGTGCTTGGATTACAGGCGTGAGCCACCACGCCCGGCCAAATTTTGTATTTTTAATAGAGATGGAGTTTCACCATGTTGGCCAGGCTGGTCTCGAGCTCCTGACCTCAAGTAATCTGCTTATTTCAGCCTCCCAAAGTGCTGGGTTTACAGGAATGAGCCACCGCACCTGGCCAAGAATGGGTTTTTGTTTCAGCTTCAAACAACTGCAGGACATTCCTGTCCAATCTCTTCTATTTCCTGCCCTCAGTTCCTCAACACCCACTTTCCCACCAGCAATCCTGCACAGCACAGAATCAAGGTCACTTCCACTGTGGAAGGTGTGGGGAGGACAGGCCTTTCACCCACAGGGAAACTGGAAACAGTTTTCAGAAAAGCAGCCTAGTACATAGCTGACAGTCTGGATGCTAGTCTGCCACTCTTCAGCTCTGGGGCCTTGGCCAAGCCAGTGAGGATTAAATGAGTTCATACAGGTCTCATGAAGCACTGAGAAAGCTGCCAGTGAACTAACTATCCGCCCTCCAAGGGTTAGCTGCCATGATGATGACTTCACCACAGTCAGTACCAGCAGGAATCAGCAACCCTAGGGAGGGTGGGCTGCTGGCCCCTTGTCTTTCTTTCTATAAGTAATGACTTTTGGCCCGGCACAGTGGCTCATGCCTATAATCCCAGCAGTTTGGGAGGCTGAGGCAGGCGAATCACCGGAGGTCAGGAGTTTGAGACCAGCCTGGCCAACATGGTGAAAACCCATTTCTATTAAAAATACAAAAATTAGCCGGGCACGGTGGCAAGGGCCTGTAGTCCCAGCTACTCAGGATGCTGAGGCAGGAGAATCACTTAAACCCAAGAAGCAGAGGTTGCAGTGAGCTATGATCGCACCATTGCACTCCAGCCTGGGTGACAAGAGCAAAACTCCATCTCAAAAACAAAACAAAACAAAACAAAAAGGCCAGGCACGTGGCTCATGCCTGTAATACCAGCACTTTGGGAGGCGGAGGTGGGCAGATCACGAGGTCAAGATATCAAGACCATCCTGGTCCATATGGTGAAACCCTGTCTCTACTAAAAAGACAAAAAAAAATTAGCTGGGCATGGTGGCATGCACCTGTAATCCCAGCTACTTGGGAAGCTGAGACAGGAGAATCCCTTGAACCCAGGAGGCGGAGGTTGCAGTAAGCTGAGATCACACTACTGCACTCCAGCCTGGGTGATAGAGTGATACTCTGTCTCAAAAAAAAAAAAACAAAAAACTTTTAAGTAGCAAGTGACATATGGTCACTTATTATAGAAAATTTAAAAATGTAAAACTTCAGGTTTAAAACAAATCACCTGGTTGGGAGTGGTGGCTCACGCCTGTAATCTCAACACTTGTAGGAAGCCAAGGTGGGTGGATTACTTGACATTAGGAGTTCGAGACCAGCCTGGCCAACTTGTTGAAACCCTGTCTCTACTAAAAATGCAAAGATTAGCTGGGTGTAGTGGCGCATGCCTGTAATACCAAGTACTCCAGAGGCTGAGGCAAAAGAATCACTTCGAATGGGAGGAGGGGGTTACAGTGAGCCAAGATCACACCACTGCACTCCACCCTGGCGAAAGAGTGAGACTCAGTCTCAAAAAAATAAAAAAAAAATTTAAAAATAACTAAAACAAATCACCTATAATTCAATCTCCCAAGATCATCTTTGTGGCTCTCAGCCATCAGCATCTGCCGTTGAGTCACCCTGGTCCCAGTCACTCAAGATGCTAACGGACTGATGTCTCAGGGAGAAAAAGAGGCTGAAGAATGGGACATGCAAGTGTGTCTGGCTTGTCCCCAGCAGAGAATTTTATGAGCAAAGCATTTCAGTGACTTTTAAAAGGTAAATCAGGCCAGACATGGTGGCTCATGCCTGTAATCCCAGCACTTTGGGAGGCAGAGGTGGGCAGATTGCTTGAGCCAAGGAGTTCAAAAATCAGCCGGGGTAACACGGAGAAACTCCATCTCTACTAAAAATACAAAATATTAGCTGGGCGCGGCGCTGTAGTCCCAGTTATTCAGGAGGCTGAAGCAGAGAGTCGCTTGAACCCAGGAGGCAGAGGTTGCAGTAAGCCAAGATCTCACCACTGCACTCCAGCCTGGGTGACAAAGCAAAACTCCATCTCAAAAACAAACAAATAAACAAAACCTGTTCGTGCCTCAGTTTCCTCATTTATTTATTTATTTATTTATTTATTTATTTTTTTTTTTGAGACGGAGTTTCGCTCTTGTTACCCAGGCTGGAGTGCAATGGCGCGATCTCGGCTCACCGCAACCTCCGCCTCCTGGGTTCAGGCAATTCTCCTGCCTCAGCCTCCTGAGTCGCTGGGATTACAGGCACGCGCCACGATGTCCAGCTAATTTTTTGTATTTTTAGTAGAGACAGGGTTTCACCAAGTTGACCAGGATGGTCTCGATCTCTTGACCTCGTGATCCACCCGCCTCGGCCTCCCACAGTGCTGGGATTACAGGCTTGAGCCACCGCGCCCGGCCAGTTTCCTCATTTATAAAATGGAAATAACAGAACCTACCTCAGGACTGGTTGAGGGAGAAATATGCCACGTGAGGTGCTTAGAATAGGGCCTGCATTAGCTGCTATTACTGTTGTTACTCTGTCCCACTGTCCCTTGCTCTCTCCCCTAGGACACACCCCAGCTGCCTGACCGTGGAGCCCCTGCTTCTAACCCCTCTGGCAGTGTCTAAAGGCAAAAGGCCATGGCAGAGCGTCTCCTCAGACATCCTCCTTGTTTCATAAGGAGGTTCGGGACCGTTCCAGAAATGCCTTCTGTCTCATTGACTAGAACTGGATTCTATGCCTGCCCCTAAACAAATAGAGGCAGAGAGGAATGGGGATACCACATGTACACACACCTGACCCAGTGCAGGGCCCTGTGCCCATAGACTGGTGCTTCTCAGGCTCTGGGAGCCTCAGAGTCACCTGAGGGTTTAAAAAAAACAACTTCCAACAAATAAACAAATAACCAATTTTCAGGCTGGGCGTGGTGGCTCATGCTTGTAATCCCAGCACTTTGGGAAGCCTAGGATCACCGGAGATCAGGAGTTTGAGACCAGCTTGGCCAACGTGGCAAAACCCAGTCTCTACTAAAAGTACAAAAATTAGCTGGGGTGGGCTAGACACCTGTAATCCAAGCTACTCAGGAGGCTGAGGCAGGAGAATCACTTGAACTCGGGAGGCAGAGGTTGCAGTGAGCTGAGATTGCACCGCTGCACTCCAGCCTGGGCAACACAGCAAGACTTGGACTCAAAAAAAAAAAAAAAAAAACTTCCAGGTTCCACCACCAGAGGCTTTGGTAGGTCTGAGATGGGGTCAAATCTGCATTCCTCACAAGTTTCCAGATGAGCTGACGCTGCTGGTTCAGGGACCCCACTTTAAGAATCCCAGCATGGAAGAGAAGAAAAGATATAACCCTGTCTGCACCCGCTGACTCCTCCCGAGAGACTGGCATAAGGTGAGTGCCAGCCAGACGTGGCCGTCACCGTGGCTGCACAAAGCCTCCGAGGTTTCTGCCAGCTCTGGGGGCTCATGTGCTCATGGCCGCTGTACTGCTTTTGCAGATTCCTTGCAGCTGTCGCCTTTATTTCTGCCCTGGAGTTGACCCAAATAAGGGGCAAGAACTGCAGGACATTTTTCCCTGCACCCAGAACAACTGAAGGTATAAGGCTGTTAAGCTGTTGTGTGAGCAGGATTTTCCTAAAGACACAGCACACAGGGAGAAAAACAGAAGTCACCTTCCTGAGGCCGCCCCATGCTTGGGTTCTGAGGCTCTTTGCTCCCTCCCCACCTCCTCTTTTCCTTCCTCCTCTCCCCCCTGGGGCAACCTGAACAACTTGGCTCTCTCCCCGCTCTTCTCCCTTCTCTGCAACTCAGCTGTAGTCCTGCCTGAGGCCAAACCCTTGAACAGGGAGACAGGGCTGGAAAGTTGTGGAAATCCCCATGTGTGAGCCTATGACGAGGATGCTGAGGCTGAGCCCCAGCCTGGGGGAGGGGGTGCCCTGATCTGAGCAGACCCTGAGGGCAGACAGGAGGCAGCCAAGGCCTGGAGCTGGGTGCCACTAACCACCTCTACCCCGGAGGTTGTGGGATGCTTGGGAGGAAGGATAGGGCTGGGCTTCGGGTCTGCGCTACTTTGGTCCCGAGATGGAGTCTAGGAACATTTGTGGGGATGCCAGGGATTCTGTAGCAGTAGGACAGGGACGGCGAGTGGGGGGGTCCCTCTCACTTCTTCAGCTCTCAAGATCGCTTACAACAGACTCCAGTCGAGATTGCGCCATTGCCCTCCAGCCTGGTGACAAAGCAAGACTCTGTTTCAAAAAAAAAAAAAATAAATAAAATAAAATAAAAGAAATCACTGAGGCCGGCCAGGCACGGTGTCTCACACCTGTAATCCCAGCACTTTGGGAGGCCGAGGTGGGCAGATCACCTGAGGTCAGGAGTTCGAGACCACCCTGGCCAACATGGTAAAACCCTGTCTCTACTAAAAATATAAAAAATTAGCCAGGCATGGTGGCGTGCACCTGTAATCCCAGCTACTTGGGAGGCTGAGGCAAGAGAATTGCTTGATCCTGGCAGGCAGAGGTTGCAATGAGCCGAGATCGCCCTGCTGCACTCCAGCCTGGGCAACAGAGCGAGACTGTCTCAAAAAAAAAAAAAATTACTGAGGCTGGTTGGGTGCGGTGTCCCACTCCTATAATCCCAGGACTTTGGGAGGCCAAGGTGGGTGGATCTCTGAGCCCAAGAGTTCCAGACCAGCCTGGCCAACATGGTGAAAACCCTTCTCTACACAAAATACAAAAATCAGCCAGATGTGATGAGGTGTGCCTGTAGTCCCAGCTATGTGGGAGGCTGAGGTGGGAGGATGGCTTGAGCCTGGGAGGTTGAGGCTGCAGGGAGCCAAGATGGTATCACTGCACTCCAGCCTGGGCAACAAAGTGAGACCCTGTCTCAACAGAAAAAGAAAGAAAGAAAGAAAGAAATTTGGAGGCTTTTAAGCCTCAGAGGCAGAGAGCCTGCTGACTCCTTGAGGTGCTGAGAGGTACCAGTTTTGGGGATTGGAGTTTAGAAAACTCAAGGAGGACAGTATCTTTCTAAGGCAGTTTGATTTTTTGATTTTTACCTTCTCAGGTACAGGAAAAGTGACCGTTTCCTTCTCTGTGAATTTCCCACGGATTCCAAGGGGCACAGACAGACCCTGACAGGGTGAGGACCCTCTTGGCTGTCAGCTTATTCTGAAATTTGAATTTCCAATTCACCTAGAGGAATCCAGAGGGGAAGGTTGTTATTTATAACCATGGCTTCCTTCTAAGGAAAGTAGATCCTGCTTCATTAAATAAAAGGCCCTTTTGTTCTTAAAAGGCCTTTACTGGGTTTGGCTTGGCAGCCTGGTTTGGGAAGAGCAGGGGGGACTTGGGAGAACTGAATTGCCTGGTCTGATGTATGAGAACTGGAAGCCCCTGGGGCACCGAGGCAGGGGCTGAAGGAGGGAGGGGGGTAGATGGGTGCCAGCAGATGGGAGCAGCAGCCCTGCGTGGGCAGGGCTGGAGGATGCCTGAGAAACCAGTTTGTCAGAGCAGGGACGTCCCAGTGCCACTTTCAGTCGTGTACTAAGCCGCCTCTATAACTCTTCCAGGGACCCACAAATCTTCAGTGAAATTCTGCTTACAGAGCAGTCTGGTATTCACAGTTTCTTGGGAGAAGAAACGGGCTGCATCTACATTTGAGTCAATTCCAGGGCAGAAATAAAGGGAACAGCTGCTAGAATTCAGCAGAAGCCGGAAATCAGAGGCACACAATTGTAAGCCTGAGAAATTGCAGAAGCCTTGTGGAAAGTAAGGGATGGGGTCTGAGCCAACTCTATTTCAATCCCAGTGGGCTGGCAGACCCTAGCTACCAACCATGGGTCCTGCTTGGAGGCAGACATTTGCCCCCTGCTTCCTTGCTAAAAGAAGCTAGTTTTGTTCCAGTGGGAGGACAATGTACTAACTACCCCCAGGTGGATGGTGACTGGGATAATTACATTTGATCCACTCCCATCGGCTGGTAGTTGGGTTGGGGAGAAGCATGAGACCCCGTTCTGGCCAATGAAATAGGAGGGGGAATCTGCTGGGGGCTCCTGAGGAGAATTTTCCTCCTCTAATAAGAAGAGATGTCTTAGGAGGAGCCCTGCCCGAGCCTCCCTTCCTGAGATGCTGCCCGTGACATGCAGCCACACAAAAGTGCAGGCTCCAGGGTCAAACCATCTGGGCTAAAAGCATGGCTCTGCCTCTGATTGGCTGTGTTGTCTTAAGCAGGTTACATGACCTTTCTGTACCTGGTATTCCTCATCTGCAAAATGAAAATAATTGGACTTTCCTCACAGGGTGTTGTGAAAATCAAGAGTGAATACACTTAAAATGCCCGGGTAGTTCTAGCACATGATAAGCACTCAATACATAGTAGCTGTCATTTCGTTGTTCTCTGTGGATATGATGCTTGGAGCCACTGTAGTCATCATTCCTTTTTTTTTTTTTTTTTTTGAGACGGAGTCTCGCTCTATCACCCAGGCTGGAGTGTAGCAGCTTGATCTTGGCTCACTGCAACCTCTGCCTTCTGGGTTTAAAGCAATTCTCCTGCCTCAGCCTCCCAAGTAGCTGGGACCACAGGCTCGTGCCACCATGGTCCGGCTAATTTTTTGTGTTTTTAGAAGAGACGGAGGTGAACCATGTGGGCTAGGATAGTCTTGATCTCCTGATCTTGTGATCTGCCCACTTTGGCCTCACAAAGTGTTGGAATTGAGCCACTGACTGCAGGAGGGCATGAGCCACCACACCCAGCCTGTAGTCATCTTTCAGCCATGAAGGGCTTGACTCAAAAATAGTCTACCCCAAGATATCTTAAGATAAAACTCCTGACTCTTTTTTTTGAGATAGTCTCACTACATTGCAGAGGCTGGAGCCTGGACTGAAGTGGTGTGATCATGGCTCACGGCAGCCTTGACCTCCCTCAGACGATCCTCCTGCCTCAACCTCCTGAGTAGCTGGGACCACAGGCACATACCACCACACTTGGCTCATTTTTAAAAATTATCTGGGCTGGGCACAGTGGCTCATGCCTATAATCCCACAGTGATGTGTACCATAAGATTGGGTATGTTCCCACCTCACTCTTCTTTTTTTTTTTTTCTTGAGACAGGGTCTCACTCTGTCACCCAGACTAGAGTTCAATGGTGTAATCACAGCTCACTGCAACCCCCACCTCCTGGGCTCAAGCAATCTTCCCACTTCAGCCTGTGGAGTAGATGGGACTAGATACGTGGGCCACCATGCCCCTCTTATTTTTAGTATTTTTAGTAGAGATGGGGTCTTACTATGTTGCCCAGGCTGGTCTCAAACTCCTGAGCTCAAGTGATATGCTCACCTCTGTCTCCCAAGGTGCTGGAATTACAGGCATGAGCCAGTGTACCTGGCCTGTTTGTGTGTGGGAGGAGTGGGGGCAGGGAGAGAGAGCAAGGGTCGGAGCATTCAGCTTTGATCCAGGCACAGAAGAGCCATTTTGAAGGTGGGCACAGTTGCCCCACCAGACATAAACCACCTAACTCCAACCTCTTACATACAAGAAAACAAATGATCTTATTTAACCCACTGTATTTTTTTATTGCTTCACTGCAGCAGATCTACATGAAGTTCCAGAATATCAGGAGGAAACAGTAGCACAGAAATACTGTTCTGTGAGTGTTACTGTGACCCATTGTATAAGTTAGCTATTGCTGCATAACAAACCACCCAAGACTTAGGGCTTAAAACAGTAATGGTTGGCCAGGCACATGCCTGTAATCCTAGCACTTTGGGAAGCCGAGGCAGCCAGATCACCTGAGGTCAGGAGTTCGAGACCAGCCTGACTAACATGGTGAAACCCTGTCTCTACTAAAAACACAAAATTAGCTGGGCTTGGTGGTGCATACCTGTAATCCCAGCTACTCAGGAGGCTGAGGCAGCAGAATTACTTGAACATGGCAGACAGAGGTTGTGGTGAGCTGAGATCACGCCAATGCATTCCAGCGGGCCACAAGAGTGAAACTCCGCCTCAAAAAAAAAAAAAAACCACAGTAATGGTTTTTTTATTTCTCATGATAACGTGGGTTGACTGCTGATTTTCCAGGGCTTACTTGCGCAGCTACGTTCAGCCTGAAGAATGGCTGCCGCCTGGGTTCAGCCTCACTCTTCATGAGGTCTTTCATCCTCAAGGACGACCATCTAGCTAGGTTTCCTCACATGGCAGCTCCAGGACAGTTCTAGGAGAGTAAGCCCCAAATCACAAGTACTTATCTGGCCTCCGTGTCATGGTCACTGATGTCCCACTAGCCAAAGTAAGTCACGTGGCCAATCCCAGAGTCACTGTGGTAGGGGCCTATCCAAGGGCGTAGATACCAGGAGGCTTGATTCATTGGGCCATTTGATTAACAATCAACCTCACTCTATCATGCCCCATGAATTTTAGAAGCTCATTACAGATAATTAGAAATCCTAGTGCAGTGCTCATTAGGCCATCTGCACAGGGACTAATATAGGATTAGGGGCAATTGAAATTCCTTCCCCTATTTAGTTATTCATCACCTAGCTCCAAAAAAAGTTTCAGGTTGTTTACATAACTACAAAAGAGTCTTAAATGATAAAATTAAAAATGAATGTTGGTGAAAATCAGAAGACAGAAAAGGAAAGCAGAAAAAAAAAGAAAACATGGTATCGGGAGTGGGGGTAGAACAAAAATTGCCTCTCCCAGGGGCCCAGGCTCCTGCTAGGAGGGGGACATGAGGTCTCAATAGACAGGGCTGGGGCAAGACCAAGGAGGTGGTCAGGGCATGGTGGAGAGGATGGGGGGATGTGGCCTTCCGGTGAGCACCAGCACTTTGTGCAATTTGTAGCACTCTGGGAGCTGGGGTGAGGCTACATCTAAAACACCTCTCAACCTTTGCTGTGCAGCTGCATTGCTTATAGAACAGGTTTAAATATAGATTCCTAGGCCCAATGTCTAGAACCTGTGTTTTTGTTTGTTTGTTTTGAGACAGAGTCTGGCTCTGTCACCCAGGCCGTAGTGCAATGGCGTGATCTCGGCTCATTGAAACCTCCGCCTCCCAGGTTCAAGCGATTCTCCTGCCTCAGCATCCCAAGTAGCTGGGATTACAGGCATGGGTCACCACCCCTGGCTAATTTTTTTTCTTTTCTTTTCTTTTCTTTTTTTTGAGACAGGTTCTCACTCTGTTACCCAGGCTGGAGTGCAGTGGTGCAAACATGGCTCACTGCAGCCTCAACTTCCTGGGCTCAGGTGATCCTCTCATCTCAGCCTCCCAAGTAGCTGGGAACACTGGCACTTGCCACAACACTTGGCTAATTATTTTGTATTTTTTTGTAGAGTTGGGGTTTTGTCATGTTGCCCAGGCTGGTCTCAAAGCAATCTACCTGCCTTGGCCTCCCAAAGTGCTGGGATTACAGGCATGAGTCACAGCACTGGGCCTAGAATCTATATATTTTTTTTTTTTCAGTCAGAACTCCCTCTGTTGCCCAGGCTGGATCTCAGCTCACTGCAACCTCCACCTCCCAGGTTCAAGAGATTATCTTGCCTCAGCCTCCTGAGTAGCTGGGACTACAGGTGCATGCCACCAGGCCCAGCTAATTTTTGTACTTTTAGTAGAGATGGGGTTTCACCATGTTGGCCAGGCTGGTCTCGAACTCCTGACCTTGTGATCTGCCCACCTCGGCCTCCCAAAGTGCTAGGATTACAGGCATGAGCCACCACACCCGGCAGAATCTGTATTTTTAACATGCTTCGCAGGTGATTCTAAAGCAAGTGATCTTTGAACCACATTTTAAGTGACTTTGAAACCTTAAGTGGGTGCCAGAATCTGGGAAGGATATTCACAGGGGAAGAGCAGGTGAGAGGAAAGGTTCTTAAATTAAATGAGTTCTCAGACTCTCAGAAAGATCCTAGAAAAGGGAGGGGGATGTCACGGGCTCTTGTACCTCCCTGATATCTCAGATCCTTTTTTTCTGCACAGGACACACCTCTTCCTTGAACAGCTATCCTTCTAGTGAGTTTCTCTGCCCTCAGCAATATTACCTGCCCTAGGACCTGCCCGACCCCTACACCATCGTGGCTGGGATTCCACCCCTTCCCCGCCATTGCTGATTGGACCAGGGGTGGGCACCTGACACGGCTGGGCCAATTAGATTCTCTCTGCCAGGAAACTGGAGCAGAGATAAGGGTCTTTGGTACCAACTCTGGCTGTGCTCCACAGTGACAGCCCATGAACCCCCGCTGTCAACCTCCACAGGACTTCCCTGGTCCTTGCCCTTCCTGGGTCTTCACTCTTCAATTTCCCTT